AGGTGGAGTCCATGCTACAAGGGAGAAATGAATGCCAACTTTCACCCTTCCTGTTATGTAACAAAAACCTGAGACATCTGTCTGCACTGGAAGAAACTTGCTTCTGAGTAGACATACATAGGATTGCATGGTTAAGATTCCCCCCCCCCCCCGGTCATTGTACTTTCCCATCTCAGAAGTAGAAAGCTTTTGGAAGCAGCACTCATAAACAGTTGAAATCCATGGAAAACCTAGGCAGGCCATAAGGAGCGCCATTAGTAGTGTTAGGGGCAAGGGCAGCTGCAGAAAAGGGGCATGAAAAATAAAAATTGCACAGCAAAGAACAACCTGCATGGTAAGCAACAAGCTTAGAAAGCAAAGATGTCCAATACACACCTGCACGGTCCACACCAGTCCATTTGTTGGTTGAGACCAAAGCGAGCTCTGCATTTCTTAGGAGAAGCAGGATCTGAGGAAGGAGCATGCGTGGTGGAGAATGGGCAAGGCAGAGGCACAAACAGCAAGAGCAGGAGGAAGAGGAAGAAGAAAAGATGCAGCATCAATTTAGCAGCTGGAGACAAAACTAAACAGGCCACATCAACCCAGTTTCTGCTGGAAGCAGCATCTCTTTGGGAAACAAAGCATGTTTAGGCAAATACCAAAACTAACCTCACACGGGAGGGCCAAGAATGCAGTGACTGGGAGAACAGAGGCATTAGCTACCCCTCCCAGTTTGGTGTCATTTGCAAATCTGACGAGCATCCCCTCTATTCCTTCATCCAAGTCATTTATAAAGATGTTGAATATCAACAAGCCTAGGACAGAAGTGCAGCACCCCACTTGTCATCTTTTCCCAGAATGATGCGGAACCATGAGTGAGAACTCTTTGGGTTCGGTCAGTCAACCAGCTACAAATCCACCTAACAGCTACCTCACCCAACCCACATCTTACCGGCTTCCCCGCAAGAATATCATGGGGGACTTAGTCAAAAGCCTTGCTGAAATCAAGATACGCTGTGTCCACAGCATTCCCCTTATCCACCAAGCTTGTAACTCCATAAACAAAAAAGTTTAGTATTGCATGACTTGCTTTTGATAAATCCGTGCTGGGTCTTAGTAATCCCTGCATCCTTTTCTAAGTGCTCACAGACTGACTGTTAAATTATTTGTTCTAGGACATTCCTGGTAGTGTCAAGTTGACTGGTTAGTAGTTACCTGGGCCTTCTTTTTTCCACTTTTTGAAGATGGCCCAACATTTGCCCACCTCTAGTCCACAGGGACCTCACCTGTTCTGTCTGTAGCTAGCTGTTCCCTTACCATCTCTCCTCCTATCCAAAGCACTGTTTGTGCAGTTGGTCTGTCTCCCACTCTGTGTGCCCCCTAACTTTGTTCTAGGAGTTCCCCTCAATCCTATGGAGCAGATTTGGGGAGAGTGTGCATGGGGGTGGGGGCTTGTATTTCACAAGTGGAAATGCTTGTGCTGATGAGATGTTTTAGCCTGATAGCACCCAAAGATACAGTTCAGATGTATAAGACTCTGTGGGTTAGGATTCTGCCTGCCCTAGAAATCTAGTTTATGGTTATCTTGGATAACAGGTTAAGAATTTGCTACTGTACTGCATTTTAAAGACCTTTTGCTTTCTTCATCTTTGCAGGGAACTAGGTGATTGGGAAACTACAATGATAACAACCACAAAAGCTAATGGCAAGAGGAAGGGGCTAAATTTGATGTGTCAAAATGCAACTAGGAATGAGCTGAATAGTATTCCTTTTCTCTGATGCTAATGTCAGAGGAGAGCAGACAGGAGAGACAATTGCAGATAGCAGCAAAGCTAGAAGAAATAGCGGTTAGGTCTCATATGAAAATGAAACACAGATTAAAGTTTATAAGCACAGATAGCAACCCAGTCTACAGATGAAATGGAGGTAGTATTAGCATAGATATGGATTACCCCAGTCACATTAAGACACAGATGCAAATCCAAAGGAAGATTATAGCTATTGTTCAGCTGCCTCAACTAATCCCCTACCAATATAAACAAAGCGTGGTTACCAGATAATGTACTGGATTTACCTGAGTTGGAGTCTTGCTGTTTTTCTCTTGTTCGTCTTTTCTTTTTCCCCTAGAATCAAAGAGAGAGAGAGAGAAAAGGGAGGGAGGGAGAAAACAAAACATAAGTGAACAAATACAGGCATATCTTTCCAGATGGAGTAAAGGGGTTGTGGCCAAGGCTCCTACTTTCATCCCTTGCAAACTGCCTGCTTCATTTCTGATCACAATGGATTCTTGCTAATCTAGACCCCTTGTATGGTGTGCAATTGGCAATTGCAGATAGCACCCTCCCCCTAGTGGTCAAAACGTCCTCTACAGGCAGTCAGGGACATGTTTAAAAGGTACATCATTTTTACACAAATGCTTCTTCACACTGAAAGAAAACCACGAATGAGATGGATCCACCTATTGCTTTAAACTCTTAATTCAGAAGTAACCCCTCATTGCTTCATACTGCAGCATTCTGCCCAGCCGGCTGAGAGTGGCACCAGCTTGGTAGAGCTATTGACAGTCTGCCATTTCCAGACCTACATCTTGCAAGCAACAGTTTAGCTGATTTGGGAGAGGAGCCCCTGGGACCTATAGATGTAAAAGAAGGAAAAGCTATGATTACAGTTAAAAGCAAGAAACCTCTCTCTGTGTGTACACATACATACACCCTTCCCAACATCAGTTAGTATTGGATGTTACTTGGGAACTCTTCCCCCCTCTCCCAGAGACTGGTTAGCTATTTATTATGACTACTTTTTACATCAACAATTCATGCGCTTTATGCTGTGGCTGAAATCAACATATGCTAAAGGCAGATTGCAAATATAAAAAGAGGTCAAAATAGAGAGCATGGGGAGGCCAGGGACCCTCCCCATAAATGGCACTGCCCTACCATACTGGTAGTTTATTCATTAAATTTTTATGCCATCCTTTAGTACACAAAAACAAAAAATGCCAAACTGCACTCTTGCTCATTGTCTCTGATAAAATACTTCTCTCAGGTATTATGGTCCCTGACCATAGCTGGAACAAATTGGTATGAATCCAGCCCCCTTTTTCATGCCTACCTGCACATAGATTGTCTCTGGCTTACGTTTTGAAATACCGGGAAGACTGCCACTCTTCCCCACTGCTAAGATATATTGAGCTCATAGATGAGGATTGTGATACAGTCTTTCCTGTGTCCCAAACCGTCAGAAAAAAGGTGTGCTGCCACCACGGTGCAATGACCTGGGTTAAGGAGCGAACCTAACTTACTTTATGCACACACACCAGCCATATGAACAAAGACCAGCTGCATTCTGAAGGAATGTATTTCCAGCAAAAGGTTGCTGTGCATGGGTGGAATAAAGTGGACAGTGGTCTCATTTTCAGCAGGCTTGCGGCCTGCACACAGTTACTTTCTCGATGAAAAAGGTCTCTTTTTAAAATGTCTTTTAAGCTGGGGGAGAAATTGGACCGTATTTCAGGAACAGCACATGGAACATCATAGTTAAAAATGAGCTTTGGTCACCAAAGCAACTTTCCTTGAATGAAGAATAATGTCAAAGTAACTATTACAAATAAAAGTGAGATAAACCCAAGGTCTGTTTTTCGTTATTCACATCTTTCTTGCACCAGCATTTGTGATGTCTTCATGCTAGCCTCAGATTTTTCGCGGGTACAGAAACTGCACTCACTAGCAGCTTGAAAAGTGCATAGTATTTGCTAGCTTGGGCAGCCCAGTCCCAGTCTTATTTCACTCAGATGGAAGTCCCTCTAGAGGACACGCGCTGTTGTAAACATGTTGAGGACTGCAGCTTTTTTGTTTTCACTTCCAGAGACGAGATTGCAAACATGGAGCACAACAAAGCCTTTTCCATTTTAAGTTCAAACAGTGTTTAAACATGTTTGTCATTAGCGAGGCACAAAAACCGCTTCGCTGATGAAAGCAGGCAAAATCAAACCAGATTGTCTTTCCTTACACTCCTCTCCACATAGTATTGATTTTGCTTGCATTGGGAGGCCAACATTATTACGCAGCTGCCCAACACTACAATTAAAACATAATGCTGGTGGCAGTTACTGTCTTACAAGCTCTGTGCCAGCGTCGGCTATAAGATGGAAACATGTTTTAAATCCATGTGTATGGTTTTGAGAAACTGTCTTGAGTTGCCACATACAGTTTTTGGACTGCCTCTCCAATGCTGAAAAATCAATTCCAACATTCTAAGACAGCTAGTGGTGGTATCCTTATGGACATTTCCCATTGGAATGGCCGTGGGGTTTTGCATATCTGAATGCTTCCCTACATCAAATGTTGTGGCACATGGAAAGCTAGCATGGCAAGGAATAAGGTTCTAGCCAAGTGTTCTCCCTGATGTATGAGCTTTCTTACTTGCATTTGATTTTTGATGTGCTCCTCTACTGGCCTCAAGTTCTAAAGACAGCACGGCACATTATGCTCTAACCTGAAAGCCCAACTGCTGCTTCTGTGCAAACCGGGCTAGAGGGCACCATTTGCAACAGAGGAGCTTAGGGCAGGAGAAGAGCACTTCCCCCTTCCCTTCCTTGCCAGCTATCTTCTTCAGCTGCCCCTTAGCTGCTGCTGCTTTCTCCCATTTCCAGGCTCAGGACACACGTTTGCAGCAGAAACACTGGACATGGTAAAAGCAGCTTGCTGAGTTGCAGAGGAAAACAGACTAGTGGAAAGTTAAACACCTTCCTCCTTCCAGAGCTTCTCTGTTGCAAATTGCGCCCCTCATTCTTTGCACAGGAGAAGCGGAAGATAAAAAGCCAAGTCAGAGCTTGATGTCCTGCCCCAAATAACAGGCTTAAGGAGGCCTTGGCTGTTGGCTGCAGTCAAGGAAGACGGCGCATCGAGCTGTTTCTCCTGTGGAAACATAGGAAGCTGCCTTATACAGTACTGAGTCAGACTGTCTGCACTGACTCAGCAGCTTTGCAGGATTTGAGACAGGTGGTCTCTCCCAGCCCTACCTAGAGTCGCCGGGGATTGAATCTGGGACCGTCTGCATTCAAAGAAGGTGCTCTGCCATTGAGCCACGACCCTTCCCCTAAGAAAAGCTCAGGTCCTCCTGCCACCAGTCACCAAGAAGAGCCAAAAGCCAGATTTCTAGCTGCTTTACCAACTGCTTCCACCAGAAAGCATCAACTACCAGTAGGCGAGAGGGGAACCAGTACCAGCCTCTCCCATTAGCCTTTTGGATTAACACAACAATTGCTCTGTTTACTATTGCTCTCCCTGGGGATAGGGGGAGCTACAAAACATGCATGACTGTGACAGCCTGAATAAGTTACTAGGATGGGGGAAGGCAGAAGACCTATGGATAGACTTCTGGAGAGCCCCTTAAGGCTTCCTCCCTTTCAGTTTGGCTGAGGCAAAAAGCCAAGGTGGCTTATCCATCATGTACACCCCGCGTGGGAATGGAATTCAGTTAAGGAAGGGGGTTAGAATGCATGGGCTGTCACCTTAGCGCACAAGCTGACTAGCAAAAGCCACAGGTAAGACAAAATCCTGGCATGGACAGCAGTAGCCATCTTAAGAGAGGCAATATGTATGTGCAAGACACACAAACCTTCGCAACCCATGATCATTACCAGATGCTGGGGACAAACAAGGGGATGGGCACTACCTTCATGCCTTGCTTGTGGGTTTCCTGGAAGGCTCTGCCTGGCCACTGCTGGAAACTAAGATGCTGGACCAGATGGACCTTTGTTGGTTGGATCCAGAAAGAGCAACCCCATTGTTATTAAAAAATATATTCATGCAATGACACCTCAAATCAGTAGAGTCTGCATTATTTCCTTGTGGGATGCAAACAATCCATCCTTTGTCTACTTTGCTGCATCCGATTCAAATTTAAATAAAATAATGTCCGCAGCATTTGCAGCTCAGAAGGCTGATTGTATTCAAAATGAAATTGCCACTCCAAAAAAATGTATTTCTTGGTGGTCACCTTTGATCATGTGCAAGGCCAGTAAGTTCCAGGTCACGGATGCATCATTTTTACTGCTTTTAAAGGAAAGCCACACTGTCCAACCTGCAAACCCTCAATTTATTTCTTCTGTTCTGTGCAAGTGTTTTCCCGAAACCATGCTCCCAGGGGCAATGGTTTTGTTTTTGAAGCCGATCAGACATTAACAACCTATTTGCCTAAAAAAAGGAAAGTGCTGTCATGAAGCGTCCACTCGCTTCACTGATGCACAAGCTCGCCACAAGCACACATAGCCCACTGATTGTTCCCCTTCAACTCAACAAATTCCACAGCCAATGAGCAATTCTATGGCCATGGAAAAGCTCAGGGCTCCTGGAATTCTGCAGCCAACGCTGGGTTAGGTGGATGCATGAGTGGCAGATGGTTACAGACTCTCACTGCCGTAATGCAGAAGGACATTCGCTGCAGAATTCGCTTACCCTTGCCGCAGAAACCGGCCCCGAGGTGCTGCTGAATTCCAGGGGCCCTGAGTTAAACTTTGTGTGATCACGGGACGAAGAGCCTGAAGAAGACTGAAGAGCAAGGGGGAAAGCGTTAAAAGAGCAGCTGCGGGGAGCACTGAAACAATGCACCAAATACGTACACAAAGCACATCAGGAAGCAGATAGAAAAACAACCTAGCAGAGAGCCTATACAGAGAACAGCACCCCAACCCGGCTAATTAAAACAAGCCATTTGTGCAGCTGAAAAGGAACCTGGGAAACTATAAGCGCCTCGAGTCACAAAATGGCAGATGAATTTTGAAGGCCTTGGAGGGAGGAAGCAGACATACATTTATTTTCTTTTTTTTAACCATTGGGTATTTACTATTTTGGGTCACATCTGTTGTAAAAAATAGTAACAGTACTGTGGGTTTACAGACAGAATAGTTGTAGCCAGCTAGCAGGTCATCCCTGCTTAGTCTTCACACACCATGAAGCCTCTTGAAAATCCTGCAGATACTTAGGAGGGGCCAAAACACACACCAAACCTCAAGTGGGCCACATCCAGCGGTGCACTTCTGGAAAGGGCTTTTGATCCAGCAGAAGCTTTTGCTAATGGAAAAGTAGAATTTTTGCTGATTTCCCCTGCAGCCTCCTCAATGTCGCTCCCTGCCCCCATTCTAGAAGGAGGTGGAGGCGGCATCAACACACTAAGGGCTCATCCACACTTCCACTTGTCCCATGCCCAGAAAGTCCAGGTTAGAGCAGTTTTCCCCTTGCCCCGCTCCTTTCCTAGGGGAAACCTGCTCTTTATATTTAAATTGGAACGAGTGTGGCCATGCACAGCTGCAGTTCATGTGCAGGATTTCCCTGTGGATTGCGAATCCATGTTGATTTCCCCACCCTCTGCTGTGCTGGGCACATTTTCCATCAGGTTGTTTTATCTCCAGAAGACTTCGAAAGTCTTCTGCTGACCAACCCTTTTAGTGAACATCACTTTTTAATAACATATAGAAAAAGTACTGGGAAATGATGCCCTTATATTTGTTCTTAATAAAACTCAACATTTTGGGACTTTAATATTTCTTTACTTAAAAAAAACACAAAAAAAAACACACAAAGCAGCAGCCTTACAGAAATGTCTTCAAATAAGAGAGCTATTAGGAAAGGGTATTAGAAAAGTAGCCATAGCAACACAAGAGCAAGAGACCACGCATTAATTAAGGAAGCCTTTTTGCAAAAGACTTAAGACATCCACGCTGGTGTTTTCAGTGAGCGGAATCCAACGTCGGATGAACAGATGTCTGCTAATGCCGCTGAACTTTGTCTCCCTCTCTTCCCCCCTGGAGCCCCCTATGAACCCTCAAAATCTGGCTGGAACATCCCCATGGGTTACAGAACCAATTTGAGGGTGTGTAGAGGGCTGCAGGGGGAAGGAAATGAAGGTGAAGTTTCGTCACACATGCAGAAGTCTGTTCAATTTGCACATGGACAGAGTTAGATGCAACCCCGTTATTTCACCCCTATGTCCAGGGGTGCCAACTTGAATAAAATACATGGGAAGAACAGGTAAGTATTTGCCTTTGACCAATTAATATTCTACAGCCTTTAAAATGTGCCTGTGGGAAGTGGGGGTTAATATTTGCTGTTTTGTTTTACTTATTTACTTGCTTTTTATCCTGTATTTTATTCTGTGAACTGCCCTGAGATCTTATGATGAAAGGCAGTATATAAATCAAATCAAATCAAATCAATCAATCAATCAATCAATCAATCACATGATGCAGTGCACGCACACTACTTGAATGGCAATGTCCATCAACATTGGGGCAAATAGTTGGCTCCTTTGCACGTATCTGTTGTTTTCCTCAGCAATTATTAAAGAAACACCACTCAGTCCTTTCATTGGTTCAGTCACTGAATATGTGTCATCCTTTGCTTTCTCATGAGTTGCCATCACAAGCTTCATGAACAAAGCTGGCTTGGGAGTCATAGCTGCTGGTGGGGTTGCTGTTTTAGACCTGCAAACGTTTAAATGCAACTCCTTGTACTTTGCGTAAAGGTAGAAAAGCTCCTAAGTGTGGGAGTGAATTCATTTCCTGTCTGACAAGTCATATGACGGCAAGCTGACCTAAATTCTTCCTTCTCCTCCTCCTCCCTTCAGGGATAGAGCTTAACAGTCAGTGTGGGCAGGGTGGCAGAGAGATTCCCAAAGCAGCTGCTCCCTGGCTTCCAGCATATCACAATAAGCACATTTGGGCCTGGGCCTAGTCTACTCCTAAGCCTTTCCAAGGACTGTTCATTTAACAGGGGAGGGAAACATGCAGTGCCCAGAAGTCAGGCAGTCACTTTCACGAACTGACTTCCTTATATTCAGGCAGCCCACATCACTGGTCTTGTTGCTCCGAGGCAGAACACTCAGTCCTTCCAGGTTAAATACTTTAACTCAGGGTCCCCCAACCTTGTTATGGCTGTGGATTCTCCAATATATGTTTGAGAAATTGCCATGGGTGCCATTGCAAAACGGGCATTCACTGATGTTTTGCCGCTGCAACAAAGCAACTTGCTCAAGAAACCTGAGTACAAGGTGGCAATCGTATGCATGCATACAGGGGAGTAAATGCCATTGAATTTTGTCCCCTTTGTCCCACATTTCACTCTGTAGTCTTTCCCAACTCTGCTAGCTGAGAAGCTTCAACTGAACATATGTAGAGTTGGACCTGAAAGTTCTCCCATGCAAAACTTCTTGCATGTGGCCACTTGACCTATGGGCCCCACCAGATATCCTTTTAATTGCACATTCATGTTGGGATGGCCATACGCAAACGTCTGCAAAAGTTCTGGGGGAGTAATATTATGTGGGAAGCCACACAGAGTAGCTCGGGCAACCCAGTCAGATGGATGGGGTATAAAAAATTAACAACAACAACAATGATGATGATGAGGCTTCATTTTCAATCAGTGCACATTCTGTAACTTCCTGCTGAAATCAAATAACTTTCCATAGCATGAATATTATAGGTTTCTTTTTCTTATCCCACTTTTGCTGCACTGTATACGGTCCCTTCCAGACGGCAATAATGGGATGGAATTGCAGAACAAGGAAAGCATAATAAATCTACTGTAATCAACACATAGAATAATATACCGGAAATATAACACCAGTCTAGAGGATCTCTTTGATCACCTCTCCTCTTATCCCTGGGATGAGGATTTGGGATCCCAAGCAATACACCACTACTTCACGGGCATTTTAAGGGGAACACTTAAAGGGTAATATGTTGGCAAAACTAGATGATACAAGGTAGATGTGTAAACAGTCTCTCAAAAATGAAAAGCAAACAGGTGAAGCTGAGCAGAGGGCCATCTATTACCTGCAAACAGGCTCCCTCCAGTGGCAAAAAATTTAAAACAACAGAGAATGGGGCCAGGTTGTTGCCCAACGCTTACTCTCTGCCAGTTCCCAGAGCAGGCTATTTATAAATGAGTCTAAATAGGGAATGGTGAAAAAGTTGAAAGGAAACATCCTAGAAGAAAACCATCTGGCTACAACACTTGAGGAAACAATATGCAAAATCCTCATTTTACATTCAGCTGGATGATTCCAGGCTAAGCTAGTTGCATATCTGCAT